AAGTATTCGTTAGCCACGTTCCTGTTCAAACGAAAATCAATGGATGAGCATCCTACAGAGACAACAACTCCTATCGTCCTAACCTCTTTGATACGAACACCATGGCCAATCTTATCACTTTTCAGATCTTTTCCCGCTACATCGGCCTGATTGCCTTAGTCTTGACTATTTCCGGCCTCGCTTTCGTACTATGGCGAGTGGCAAAATACCGGCACATTCCTGGCCCCTGGCCATGCCGAATCTCCCACCACTATGTTGCAATGTTCGAATTGGGTCGTCAACGGCCGCAGGCCATCGAAAGATGGCATCGGAAATACGGCCCCTTTGTGCTTATTGCACCCGGAGAAGTATCAATCTCCGATGTTACGGCTATGCGCGACCTCTACAGCAGTTCTAAGAGGAACCCCAAGAGCGACTACTTTGACCATTTTATTTACCACGGAGAGCGGTCAATATTCGCAGAGAAGCCGTATGAAGAGCACAAGGCGAAGAGAGGATTGTCTTCAGCATTCTATCAGGCAACCTCCATCTACAAGCCCGAGATACAGCAGCCTCTCCGGCAAAAGGCTCTTGGAGTTCGAGAGACACTTGAGAGACATTCCAAGATGGAGCCAATTATTGATGTTTTCCCCGTCATCAACCACTATGCATGGGACAACATCACAGCGTTGGTTTACGGGCCAAGGCACTGCTCTCATGCTGTTCAGGGAGATTACACAGATCGCGACATTCTCGCCAGACTCAAGAACACCGAAATGTGGAACTCACTGAAATTCAACCTTCCATTCGCTCACGACATCTTGGAAAAGGCTGTTTCCGTATACACTGGCTCATCCAAATTCCTCTCGGCAGAGCGTGACTTGGATGTTTGGGCCATGCAGCGTCTGGCTTACTCACTGTCTGATCCCAAGTCATCATCTGATTGGTCGCTTATCCGCCTCATCCAAGATCTCCGACTTGCCGGTCGTGATATCTCTGATGATTACGTGGCATGCGAGGTGATTGATAACCTCCACGCGGCCCAGGCCACCGTTACTGTTGCTTTGACGTATGTGGTCTACCACCTTAGCCGGAACCCTGACTGGCAGGCCAAGGTTCGAGCTGAGATCGAGGCGCTACCGCGAGAAGATGATGGTCTCCCGGTTTGGCAGCTACTCGACAAAGCCCCTATTCTAGAAGCCTGCATAAGAGAGTCATATCGGATCAACCCAGTTTCTAGTGGGCGAGCCGAGCGCATATTGGCCAAGGACACCAGATACGGCGATGTTTACATCCCCCCATACGTAAGTTGCCGGTTGCGCTCTTGCTACCGTAGAACCCAAGCCAGTATTCTACACGCCGTTCTAACATTTACCCATGTAAAAAATAGACCGTTGCATCCGCTTCGACCATTGCGTTGCACCTGGACCCGTCAGTCTTTCCCGAGCCGCTGGAATTCAACCCAAGGCGGTGGTTAGACGTCGAGCCTGAAGGCTTGTTAAGACTAGAACGGTCTTTCATCCCATTTGGGTATGGTGCCCGTCTGTGCCTGGGCAAAGCATTTGCAACACTCCAGGTGAAGATGTTAGTATCTGCTGTTCTTCTCACGTTCGAGACCGCGTTGGACGACCCGAGTCGTATCATGGAGCAATGGGGAACACAGGATGCTTTGCCCAAGGGGCTTAACTGCAAACTCCGTTTCCAAAAGAGACAAGATGTTTCATGAACAGAGCCGATGTTTAGTCGGATGAACCGGTAGCATCGGGACCTGACAGCTTGTCAAGAGACGGAACATGGAAAATGGCCCGGTGGGGGAATATCATTGCTTAGTGAGTAGCATAGCACCACAAAAACGAACGGGAATATTCGTAAACGGCTCGACCAAGAAACCTTCTCAAAGTGTCTTGACATTGCATCGCCAGCAGACCACAAAAGGTCTGGTTTGAGAGCGTTACGCCTAGGCCTGGCATCATTAAGGAGCTGCTGATCTCGGACACGATAGCTGACTCGTTTTCCCCCAGTAGCGAGAAACGTGCTTCTGTCGTGGTCTGACAATCAAACGTTCAAACCCTATATGTATTGGCATGCCTAGACCGAGCATGGAGGTGCGGCCGTTTGCGCGCTTCGGCGCGGGGAATAATGTCCGCAGTTGATCCCACGCGGAGCCCTCCCGTTGCATTTTCCCCGGGATCTCGGCACCGGGGTCGCTATGCTGGTGCCAGGATTTGATGCGAGAATCCCTTCCCCTTCCCCTGGAAGCTTGTGGGACTCGCCGGCGGTGTGGATACAAACGCCTCAGCCTCGGTAGCACCGACACTGGCTTGGCGAAAGTTTAAGGTGCAGGAGGATTTCGAGAGACCCAGGTTGTTGAATAGTGTCACGGAAGGACGGGCTTTACTCCATGACGTGCTGCCGATATTCATATTATTCCTGCCCGCTGCGGCCCGTCATGAGGCCTGTCTGTCTCTGATGTGTCTGATGCGGTTAAGAAATACTTCTGCAGCTTCCTGCAAGTTCAGCGCTTGACTGCATTCCGTACTTTTTAGTCTTTTTTTTCGTCATACGGACCGAGTGCAGGTCGTGCTCTGAGTAGTTTATTTACAGTTCCCGCCACCATGAACACCATGAGCTGCGAGGGTGACATGAGGTCTCTATTGATGGCCCTTACTGTCAACCCGGCCGAGCGGAGGAGAACACAAAACCGACTGGCAAAGCGAAAGTCCCGTATGCAACCTCAAAACCAACATACCTTACCCTGCCTACACCCTCACTTCACTATCTTTACCCTCACTCCCAGCCCAACCCAGTCCAGCACATGCCACAGCACATGCCACAACACCATCCGTTATCATCCATCCAATAGAGAAGAAACGTTTAGAAACCAACAAGTTGAGCTATTCTAGGAGCCAAGGGAAAGAGTGCCGCAGCAGCCGCCGCAGCAACGAGCCATGTCGCGTCATCATCCACAGCAACATCAGCAACAACGACGAGGAGGTCAAGAAGCGCTTCTTCTTCACCCCCAACGGTCACAGCAAGTGTGCTTACGCGTCTTTACGGTACCATTGTCACGAAAGTCTGGGCTAATCAGATTCTGCAGGACCTCACATACACCACAGCACTTGCCGATCCGTTCGGTTCACTTCAGACCCCGCCGCATGAGCCGACCCAAGACTTTGGGCAGGCAGCAGTAATTTTCCCTGCTTCGGAGATGGGAGTGTCTGGAGAAGCCGCTCCACGGACGTTGCAACGAAATGCCGTCACTGATGACCTGGACGCGAGCTCATATTCAGCGGGAATCCCCCACAGCTTAAACACTGTCGATTTCATCGAGCCGTGGACATTAGACGCCAGCATGACACTCATGACACCAAACAGCAGACACGAAGACATGTCAGACCTTTCAACAGAGGACATCCTTACATTAGGGGTGAGTTGTATATCCCAGTTCATCTCATCGCCACTTCAATGAGAGCACTGATGAGAGTATTTCTTATATAAGTGCTCATCTGGAGTCTCTCACATTTCATTTTTCTGCCCGAAATCTCGACAGCTATCAAAAGTTCCATCACATTGCATGTTCATTTGCTGACAGTATGGGGAAAGTTTGCGAGACCAACTCAAGGGAGCCCTTTGCACATTGCGGCAACACACGGCCACATCAACGTGGCTAAAACGCTGATCCTCCACGGTTCGGATGTCAACGCCGCGGATAAAGCTGGGCTGGCCCCAATTCACTACGCGACACAAAATAATCAAGGTCCCATGGTGACCATGCTTGCGGAACACGGAGCTGACGTCGACTTTTTGGACCCGGACGGTTGCACGCCTCTCTACAGAGCGGCGGAAAGTGGGAATAAAGCCATGGTCGAGCGTTTACTTCGTCACGGCGCGAAGTTGAGCTAGGAAAGTAACATTAACAGAAACGGAAACAAACTACTCCAGTATGGAGTTAGAGTAGCATGGGAAACGGAGGAGTATCGTCAAATTGGGTGGCTATCTAAGTTTACTGGTGTAGAATAGGCCTGTTATCAAACACGTTCACAAATCAAGGTCATTCTATACATGTAACTTAACCCACTTGTTGTGTGGTTCTGGATTGCAAGGCGACCCATGCGTGCCAAAATCCGGGTCGTTTCTATGCCTGTGATTTTCAGTCAGCCTCAACCCTTATCTTGGACGTTACATACGTCTAGGTCATCAGAAAGACCGGACATCAAAGTCATGTTTGACTTTTTCTGCCCATGTAGAGAAGCTCGCATTGTGGAGCATAGCATGCCGTGAACCCGTTCTAGTTCTGACGAATAACCCAGTGGACGTGCAAATTGTGTCTCCTGGCCAAGCAAACAGCGCCGAACTGTCAAACGAGCACATGGGATTCCTCACTTACCCGTCTAGCTCGGTAAAGACACGGACTCCGGATAAACTCAGAAACGAGTGATGTCTTTCGATTCTTCTGAGTCGCTGGGCTATTGGGGCACGGTGAGCACTATGCTGAACAGAGGAGGGCGTCCGAAGACGGAACTGCTTTGCGGGGCCGGCCGCCGCAACATCGGAGCCAAAATGTGTTCAGTCCCCTGCACACAAGGCTCTTCAAACATGCTGACGATGCAGCGTCTGTCACAAAATACTGTCTGATTCGGATACGACCGGAATAGAACACTTTGGAATATGTGAGGGAGTAAAGTCACATACACATGTCGTAAACATAGAGATTGACGAGGTGTTCGGACGCTGCACAGACACCCGCACGGATGGATCACGAGATGACTTTGCGTCCAATCTGACCTTCGCTTTTCCAGCTGACGAGACATTTCCAGCGCCATGTGAATGACAGGAAGAAGACAAGAAAATCTATGATATTTTGAACTCAACATTGAAGTTCTTGATAACCATATTGTATTTATTAAACAAGCTCAAAGCCAGATTCACTCCTTGAGCAATCATTATACCATCATAGTAGCATTCCTCCAGGATCGAATCGAAGACTGCGCATCCACCGTTGCTAAAGACCAGACACGAGCATGGCGGAACAGAGCTTCAAAGAGCAGCTCCTGCAGCTGCTGGCTGCAACCCGAGATCTCCACTTGAAAGAAGAACGGACACCTAACGGTAAGTCTGCAATTGTCCATATCCCCTGTCCCTCGCCAGACAAAACTGAAGCCCGGATCAGGAACGTCGGATGTAGAGACCGAAAGCTCCGAGCACCCTCTGGTTGTTCTTTCTGCCCTGGCAGCCAGACTGCAGCGAGATGGCAAGGAGAAAGAGGCAAATACAATCCTGCAGGTCGTCAGCATTGCCACGGCGTCCCCCGACTACGGCGGCATGGGCTTGGCCTGGAACGGTAAGTTAAGCGCAACGGATCGCAGCGAGCTGATTCTGCTCACATCCGCATGTAAGCATACTTTCTTTCTTTTGCTGTGCCGCAACTATCTCAGTGAACCCCTGATTTTGCCGCATTTATTGGATGAGAACTGATTGGAACTGATTCCCTTCATCAGGGCTCGAGAGTCTGAACTCCAACGATCGACGGGGGGGACCGATCGTTCCCCTAGTGAGCCGGCCTGCCGGTCGCCGACCCATGAATGTTACAGAAAAGATATTCGCTCTGCATGACGTGACTCGCACAGGATGGGTCCGAACAGGGGACACAATTAGAGTTTCTGTCGACTGGATCATGGCTAGCGAGGCTAGCTGGCATGTATGTTTACACTTTACCCTCGCCTTTATATTCTCACAGGCCTAGGTGACTTGCTGATGTTGGACTAGGGTATGCTTCAAGTCTACAACAAGCTAGGAGATCCCGGTATCTTTTCGAACTCCAACTTTTGGCTGGCTGGCGATCATGTGGTTGATCCGAGGCTGATGGATACGCCTCTTGTTCAGAAACTGGTTGGCGAGATGGACTTTGCTCGCAAGAAGTTCAAAATGACACAGTTCCAGGGCAACAACTACACCATCATGCACACCGAGTTCTACCGTGAGCGGGCCCAACCAGGCCAAATCATCATTGGCTCGGATTCGCACACGTGTAGCTCTGGGGCCGATGGCTGTCTTGCGATTGGACTGGGCGCAACCGAGGTCACGATGGCTCTCGTCACTGGAGAGATCTGGTTCAAAGTTCCTGAGGTTGTCGAGATCCACCTGGTGGGCAAGCCCCAGCGTGGAGTCGGAGGTAAAGACATCATCCTCTACATTCTCCAGCAGCTTAAACGGAATACGGTGGCTGCGGACCGGGTTGTCGAGTACACAGGCCCCGGTTGCCGATGGTTGAGCTCCGACGCCCGCTTCGCAATTGCAAACATGACTACCGTAAGCAACTGCCTTTGTGTTTACCCGTTTGCCCTCACCGATTCGAATCTTATCCCGTCGGCATGGCATTCCAGCCCTTGGCACTCTGCACTTAGTTTCAGGGTTAGCTAACATCAGAATCAGGAGTTCGGTGGTATCACGGGGATATTTGCTCCCGACGAAGTCACCAAGGACTTTATCGATGCCCGCAAAACAGCCCACCACAGGACTGCATCGTACTACTTCAAGCCCGATGAAGGATGCTTCTATGCGGAGTCACATACTATCGACGTCTCTCTGGTCGAGCCCTTCGTGGCCAAGTACCCAAGTCCCGACGACGTTGTACCAGTGTCCGATGTGGCAGGTACTCACCTCGATGGTGTTTTCATCGGCGCTTGTACGACAGCAGAGGAAGATCTTGTCATGGGCGCGCTTGTGCTGCAGGCTGGCCTGGACGCGGGGAAGAAGCCGGTGGCCCGGGGAGAGCGCCGCGTCGTCCCCGGGAGCCGCCCAATCGCCGACTACCTTCGTAAGACAGGCCTCGCAGACATTTACGAGAGGGCGGGCTTCATCATCGGCATCCCTGGATGCAGCTACTGCGTTGGTATGGGCGCTGACATGGCCAAACCTGGGGAAGTCTGGCTCAGCAGTCAGAACCGCAATTTTGTGAATCGTATGGGCAAGGGTGAGTCTCGTGGGATATACTCACGATCGTTCTTATTTCCCTGTCTATCTCTTTTGGGCCAAAACTGCCCGCATATGTGCCCCATTTGTTGGTGGACCCGCGAGCAGTTTTGTGATATTAATCTAGAGACCCCTCTCGAGACCCTCTCGAGACCCAAACTCAGCTGAGAACGAATGTAACGTTGGACAATATGAACTAACAACTGGCATGACAGGGGCTATCGGCAGTTTGGCGTCCGCTGCTACGGTGGCTGCGTCGTCTTTTGACATGGCTGTCACTTCTCCACAAGATCTTATTGACCTCATCCCGGAGGATCGATGGGCCGCCGTCAAGGGTAAAGGATCCCTTGCCGATGGTACCCTCAGCCAACCGCAATGGGTGGAGCCTCCAGGCCAAGACGCCGAAGAGAATGCGAACGTAGCGGAGGACCAGGAACCCAGCCCGTCCGGTGAGGACGCGGCCGCCGACCAGGCTAAGCCCGGCTCCGGGACCATTAGGAGTAAGATCTTCCGTCTAGGAGATTTTGTTGATACCGATGCGGTAAGCCACCTTTCCTTTGCTTTGCCCCTGGTTCGTGGATGGGACATGAAGTAAGCAAAAAAAGGCGCACAAGAAACAATGTTCTGACGGGCCGTCCCGCAAGTAGCTCGCACCGGCGCAGTACCTTCTCACATCCAAGAACAACGAGGAGCTCGGCACTCATTGCCTCGAGTTCACTAACCCGGAATTCCGGCAACTCGTTAAGGAAGGTCACAAAGTCATTGTCGCTGGCGATGCATTTGGCTGTGGATCTAGTCGTCAAGAGGCTGTGCAAGCTTTACTAGGTGAGTCGGAGTCTCATTCCTTCATCCTTTGCGTATCCTTTTGCCCATCATATGCCCCCTCGCTCTCGGTGATTCTTACGGCCGCTTGTCCGTCAAGGTGCTTGTCCGTCGGCTGTTATGTTTCCCCGAATTGATCATCACTGTCATCCTTCATTCCTTCGTTTCGTTCCTTCATTCGTAATGGTGGGCTGATCAGACAATACTGCGCGTAGGCGTCGGTGTTGAATGTGTGATTGCAAAGGCATTCGCGTTCATTTACAGCCGAAACCAGCCGTCTTTGGGTCTGTGGGGCTTCACCATTAACGATCCCCTGTTTTACGAGAAGGCGCAGACCGGAACCAACATTGAGATCGACCTGGATCGCAACGTGCTGACTGTCGACGGCGAGACATTTGAATTTCAGCTGTCAGTGCTCGAGAAGAAGTTGACCAAAATGGGCGGCATGACGAATGCCTTCAACCAGTTTGGCAAACGCATCTACGACGTCTTGACAGGTCGCAAAGCCTCACAAGGCGGTGTCGCAAAGGAACTCAAGGCTAAACCTGCCCAAGATGTCATGGCATGGTGAGCATGGGTTCGATGGTGGAGGGCCGGCGGAGGGGCCGGGATTCATGCAGGGTCTCGACCCGGGGTTCAGCAGGACATGGAGTTGAACAAGTCGTTCCATACCAAGTAGTCGATTGTCACCGTACTTCGTACGGGTATTCGTACGGGTATTCGTATAGCCTCTTTTCGCGCGCGCTACAACTTCGGTGACTGACAATGATTTCGGCGTTTGTGTGTTGGCAACTTGGCATTGGATGCCCCATCCTGTTGTGTTCTGCAGTCTCTAATGTGTACGTAGGTTAAGCCCCGACTACTGAAATTGGACAACGACGACCTCGGTGTAGAAACCCCACTGGCAAGCTAAATTTGGGGTCCAGGTCCATGCCCAAATGACCCTTACACCATCTTTGGTCAGCAGCTGCTGCAGGCTGCAGCAATAGCCAAGACATACTTCAATGGCCTAGAATGACTTTTGCTAGGGCTCACACGGGGAAGCCGGGGCCAAATTCTGGCCATGCTGCATATTCCGTATGGCATTTCTTGATCGCAAGCAGCTGTGGTACGATGTAGGCGGATGAATGACTCGAGGGAGCCCAACGGTTGTTCCTCGGAAACTATATCCCACGTCACAAATACTTGGTACTGTCGTAAAGGTGTATCTCTTTCTGCAAGCGAGGCGACCTGCGAAACAGCGGCCGAATATGCGATCGCATCGTACCCATGGTAGAATGATTGGCCTAAGCCATGTCTGTAGAGTATTGCAACGCTTGGCTACCTACTCTAGAGACGACTTTCTAGTTAGCTTGCCTGAGTTAAGTGGGGTGACTGACTCAACGACCAGGATACCAGTCCTGGGTAATGTTTGCGCTGGCACTAGGGATCATCATAGCACAATTATAGATCCAAGACAGGATAGCTATAATACTACAAGTCCTCAAGACCCCCGCAAACCGAACACGCCCGTAATCAAAGCATCTTACTCGTGAATCTGTCTCCTTAAATCACGACATACTACCCAGTCACTTAATGATTCCACCAGGAAACGACGCGGAGGATTCCTTGGTGGGGTTCAAGGGGATGCCCACCGGCCCGGTTTTTAAGAAACGACAGCACACAGCAAAGCCCCATATGGACGGATGCTGAGTATTTCGAGCGGAAGTAACCTTGATGGGCTCGGTAGAGCAATCTATCTTCAGCGATGCGCAACTCTATCCAACTCTACCCACTGGCCGCAGTCGCTGTCTACCCGCCTCCTGTGATACCTATAAGTCCAACACACGTGAGTCGGTCGCCGTCTCAAGACCTTGGTACCGAGAGTTACTCCGGAGACTTCGCTAACCCAGTCTTGGTGATCCGCTCAATATCATTGCGCAAAGCAACGCCATCGAGTTCTTCCACCCAGCCCCATGGCTCCGTATACAGGCCCCGCTTGATGCCTTGCAATCTGTCTGTCAACCTGGCATAAGCGGATTGCGGAGATTGCGCATCGACGGTAAACGCGAACCGCTCGCCAGTCGACTCGCGCTCGATGGCGCTTACGGGCACCAGCGATGATGCAGTGCCCACGGTATAGACCTCAGAAAAGTCGCCAAGCTCAGTGAACGGGATCTAACGCCATGGCGCCGGGACATGATTAGCGGTAATCTCCCATAAAAGTCAAAAACTTCCGCCGAGATCTCGGTCCTCCCCCACATGGAACGCTGAAGGGAGCAATGGAACGCCGAGGGAGCAGTTGGCTATTGGTAGTGGATCGGACAAGAAACTCAAAACTTACGGGACGCCTCTCCACCTTCCAGCCAAGGGCCTGGGCAATTTGTCCAACGCTGTCGACCGTGATACTTGGGAGGATATGCTCGTCCTTGGGAATGACCATCGTAGGCGGAGCGCCAGTTTCCGCAGACTCTGCCTTAATTCCAATGAAGCCGCTGGCAGAGAACTCGTGGATGAAGGACTGCGTCTCGGCGTCTAGGTGGAGTGTCAAACCGTAACCTTGCTTTCGCGCCCGTCCCATGATCGGGATGGTGGGTCCGTAATTCCCACCGACTTTGAAAGCGCCGGTGCCTTTCGGTGCCGTACGGTCGAATCCCTCCACCACCAACGCTTTGAGACCCGTTGCTCCGTATAGCAGACCGACGGGCGTGACCAGAATGGCAAATGTGTACTCTTCCGCCGTGTACATGTTCATGGTCGGGCTGCTTGCAAAGACCACCGGACGCACATACATGGAACAGCCCCCCTCGAACGGAGGTACAAAGTCGCTGTTGAGTTGAACGGCCAACCGCACCGATTTGGCAAACAAGTCGGCCGGGACGGCCGGAATGTCGACGGCAGCGGCAGAGCGGGCGAACCGGGCCGCATGGCTCGCCAGGCGAAAAAGCTGGATGTTCCCTGACTCGCTACGAAAGACGCGTAACCCCTCAAATGCTTGCTGGCCATAATTAAGCGCCGGCGACAGGCCGTGGACTTTTAGGTAAGGCTCGTGGACCCAACGCGGTTGGCTCCAGGCGCCAGACTTAGTCGTAAATGTGCACTCGATGTGGCCATTGACTAAGCACTGTTATTACCACATCCAACTCAAAAGCTCGTTTACTGGGTGTCATCGATTGCTTCATGTTGGTTGACATCGAACCACAGTGACCCCATCTCCATTTGAACTGACCTTGGAAAGGCGTAAAGCCGATTTTGTTCCATTCTACGTTCGTTTTCGGCGGACGAACTGCTATTAGATCTTCGGTTTCGCTCTCGCCAGCCGCTGAAGAATGTGCGGGAATAGAACCCATAGTGGTAGGTATCTCGTAAGAGAAACGAGGATCGAGTTGCCGATAGCCGGTACGACTGCCACTACACAAAGTTGAAGGAATAAATAGAATAGCGGTTGGACTCGATACTGGAGGTTAGCCAAAACGATATTAATTAGCATAAGAATTGATTCAAATACTGCTCTATAATACTACATATCTAAGTTCCGATAACGAGCTGTCAAGTGTACCAATCCGGACTCTCGAGTTGGTTATCGTCGACGGCTGACCGTCAGCGTCTGACCACACAATCTTTAGCTAGAACACTTGCCGCTTGACCTTACAGCTGAGAATGCTTTACAACGCGTTGTCCGGCGCACCTGGAACGCCATTGACTGCAGTAGTAATACTCTAGCCACTTCATCCCGTGGAACCCATCTCTAGTATCCGTAGTCTCGACTGGCTGTGCCGGTATGCAAAGTCCCTGGTTGGCTCTGTATCTGCACACGCTGCTCCGTGATTCCGTTGGGGACGGTCATGTGGGCCTGGGGATTTAGACTTTCTCGGGGTTTTGTGATACGGTCATACGAAGGACGCCTAGAATCAATGGTGTGTTGCCGCCGAGTTCCGATTGACCAAATCGAAGGGGGGCATGTTATGGCGCCAGGGTCAAAAGCCTAATAAACCCTTGCTTTTCCGTTGGAAAGTCGTAAGACGGTCGACTAGCCAGGACCGGGGCCTTATGCAAGGTCAGCAAAATCATTATACTGTGTACTCGCAGGGCGGGTGAGCCCCTGATCTTCGGATAGATTCACATTCCCGTCACATCCTCAGCCTGAATGCACAGTCTTCTCTCTCTGTCAATGAGTTCGCTTGCCTTCAATGCATTGTCCGGCAGGCAAGCAGCGTCAACATCATGAACCCCAAAGCTGTGTCTGGCCGAGCTCGGCTCGAAGGAAACAGTTACAACACCAACACAAAGGATGAGAAAAGACCAATTCAATTGGAAGCCATGTGTATACTTCAAGAAGGAAACCGCGATCTAGATCTTATTCATGAAGCTTCAGTAGCTCTGTGCAACCGCCTTCACTTCTAACATTTCGTTCAACCCTCGAAGCAATTTAAGATCATCAAAATGTCTACTACATTCAAGATTGTTGTTTTTGGCGGAGATTACGCCGGGCCAGAGGTATGCTCCATTTCCCCCAGCTCACCCACACACCCATTGAGGTGGATAAATCCGTCATTAATCACAAATGCAGGTCATGTCTGAGGGTCTCAAGGTCCTTCACGAAGTCGCCCTCCGCCACCCCGAAATCAAGTTCAACCTGACGCATCATCCAATAGGCGGAGTATGTCAACGACAAGACTTTCTGTCAAACCGCGTATTCATTGATTCTAACCGTTTTCGTCACAGACGTCCTTTGATCTTCACGGAAAGCCGATCCTTCCCGGAGCTCTTCAAGATGCAAAGGAGGCCGATGCAATCCTGCTAGGCGCAGTCGGTGGTCCTGTAAGTGCCGATAACCGCTCTCAATAAATCGCTATGCTGATATCGAGCTCCAAAGAAATGGGCTGGACAGGTTCCTTCCGTTGAAGCCGCGAGTCTCGGAACTCTGCGCCGCGAACTGGATGCGTTCGGCAACCTTCGTCCGATCAACTTCCCCGCCCCATCCCTAGTCGACACGTCACCAATGAAGGCCGACATCTGTAGAGGCACCGATATTCTCATCGTTCGCGAGCTTACTGGTGGTATTTACTTTGGGCACCGAGAGCGCGGAGACCTCATTGCCAAAGATACGGACCAGTACACCTATGAAGAGGTAGCGAGAGCCGCGCGGTTGGCTGGCAATCTGGCGAGACTGTCAACTCCGCCTAGGCCTGTCATCAGTCTTGACAAGGCGAATGTTCTCGCGGCTTGCGGTAGTTTCTGGCGACGCGTTGTCACTGAGGTCCTGAGCAAGGAGTTTCCGGATGTTCGTTTCGAGCACCAGCTGGTCGACAGTGCTGCCATGACTCTGGCGTGCAACCCTACCAAGCTCAACGGCATCGTTTTGACGAGCAACCTATTCGGTGACATCATTAGTGATCAAGGAAGTGCTATTGCTGGTAGCATTGGTCTTCTCCCCAGCGCTAGCTTGCGAGGCATCCCACCGCAATCTGGCAGCAGCATGATCAAGGGCTTGTATGAGCCAGTTCACGGATCCGCGCCAGATATCGCCGGGAAACAGCTGGTAAACCCTGTTGGAATGATCTTGTCTGTTGCCATGATGTTCCGTTACTCTCTCAATATGCCTGAAGCGTCCGATCTCATCTGCAAGGCCGTCAGCGATGCGATTGAGTCTGGCGTCCGGACTTCGGATTTGGGAGGCACCGCAACAACAAGCCAATTCGGTGATGCAGTGGTTAAGATCATTTCTCAACTCCCGTGAGAGGGAGAGGCACAGTAGTTGTAGGTCAAGGGCTATTGCTGGCGCCAAGAACCCTGGTACATGGATATGAGTATTGGAATCAAGGATGTATAGATTAGATACAAAGACGGAGGGATAGCAGGAAAGAGATTTGCTCCCTTGCAGTCACATTGCACTAAATCACCTAAAAGGCACATAATCTAAAAGAGCTTTACATTTGGACTCTATGTTTAAGGAATGTACGATAAGTCTTTTTGGCATCATGCAAAGCCCCTTTCAGTGATTGAGTCTCGGACGATGATTCCCAAATGTGATGCACGGAGTCGGGGAATCACTTAGGTCTATACAACCCAGGAGTCAGGTTGTTGACGCGATCAAGAGGCGGACTAAATCGCCCAGCCAAACTCCGGTTTAACATTAGAATCAACCTGGACCAATCACTTGTCGATGTTTCCTCAGTGAAAAGAAGCATTGTCACCGCAGAAGCTCAAAGGTTCGCTGACCGTCGTCACATTTCAGACCCCCTTACCCCTGTTACACACGTTTCTCGTGTTGGTTGGATAGTGGTCTGTTACAGCTAGACCCGCTCAAGAGTGACCCTCGGAGGGTTGATGGAGGGTCGATCATGCCGAGCCGCCGGCGGTGCTGGATACAGGACGCGTCATTTGCGAGACACAAAGGTCAACCAACTTGCTTTCACTCTAGGCACCAGCCTTGGCACCCTGACCTCTCGGAATGTAGTTGATGCCGCTTTGAGATAGTCTTTGGTGCCCAGCATCTTTAAGTTGACTGTCGAAGCCGGCTTGAAGGATTTGCTTGACAAGGTTGTCCATATCGAGCAGAAAAGACCACTATCTTCCAATTCCTAGACCCATCAAAAACTAATCCGAATGTCTGTCTCTATTTACTCGCTGTAACTACTAGTATTTGTATTTGTCATTTTCTTTTTCTCGACACCACCGAACCAATTAAAATGTTTCCAACACCAACGCTGACAATCCGGGACGATGGCGACGATGATCCTCCGAGAACAGATTGCACGAGTGCGGTGCCTGGACCGAACGGAGCCGTTCCTTGGGACGCTTGCAACTCTAACTACAACTTCCATCCCGAGTTAACGCCCGCTATTGCAACGGCTTCGATATTTGGTGTTTTGACGTTGGTTCATCTAGTCGAAGCGATATGGTATCGAAAGGTGAGATCACGCATCCAAAACTTCCTTCCAGTCGTCCTTCTCCCATTCACAGAGTTACGCCCACCATCGGAAGAACTTAGTGGAGGGTATAGGTACTAACAACCAGTGGCATATAGCCTTTCACATGGACGGTTCTTATGGCGGCAAGCTGGGAAATGGGCGCATTCATTCTGCATGCATACGGCTCGCAAGATCAACAAGCTCAGGGGTACGCCACAGGTCATCAGGTGCTATTCCTGTTGGCTCCTGTGTGGCTGAACGCGTTTGTGTACATGACCTTTGCACGAATGGTCTACTTCTTTCGACCAGGCGGAGAACCTCGAGTTTGCTACATTCCGGCAAGATGGCTCGGGCGCATCTTCGTCGTTGCCGATATCGCCACCTTCATCGTGCAGGCCACAGGAGGTGTGATGGCTGGTCCGACAGTAGAGCCTACCACCAGAGCAAAGGGTGTCAAGATCTACATCATCGGCATGGGTGTCCAGGAGGGTTTCATCGTGGTGTTTTTGATGTTGATGGCTCGCTTCAACTATCGTGCCATACAAATGAACAAGAACGACGTTTACGGACTGGAAGGTGGCTCATACGAACGCGAGGATGAAGAAGGCTACATGCCGCGACGAAACTGGAAGGCCCTTCAATTCGCGCTTTATGCAGCCTTGCTTGCGATCACGGTTAGTTCCAATTCTATGTCCCTTCGCTGAATCCTCTCGACATTGTCTAACTGACCGGTCTTGGCTTGCCTAGGCGCGTATTATCTTCCGCCTCGTCGAGTTCACCGGAGGCATGACTCCTGAAGAGAACCCCATACCCTTCACGGAAGCATACGCATATGCTTTAGACGCCTTTCCCATGATGCTGGCATTGCTCATTCTCGCTATCATACATCCTGGTCGAATCCTTCAGGGTACGAACAGCGAGTTTCCCAGGAAGGGATGCCGACAGAAGCGCAAGGAGAAGAAGGAGAAAAAAGCGGTCAAGAAGGCAGCGAAAGAGGAACGTAAGGCAGCCAAGGAAGAGAAGAAGAGAATCAAGAACGACCGGAAAAAGATGAAGACATATGGAGAGGTACCTGATGCAGAACCGGATAGCTATGGAATGGGGCTGATTGACGGGCAGAACCACGAGCCCATGCGATATGCAGACTATGCTAGGTACGCCAGATGAATCATGAATCCAAGACGTTACGACGGGGCACAATTATTCACATGTAGCAGATAATCAACATCAATGTGTACGAAGTATATGCATTCACGGAAATACCTGCTGTCTCTACATGTACCTTTTCCACAACATACTTTACCTAGATTCAACCTCTGGCCACCTGCTTGTCTATGTCGCCCACCTACGAAAAGGACACAGGTCCAGACAATGAACGGAGCACATAGAGTGATCACAATGCTCAGATCCGCTTCATCGATAGAATTGGACCTGAACCTACTTACCCAGAATACATGTAATTTACCTCAGAAATCTCGGCTTGAAGAGCACACTCACAGTCCGCTTATTCATGATAGCCGTTACTTGTTGCATGCTGAAAATACCGCCACCACATTTGGAATGGATTATTCTTCAGCTTACTTCGCTCTCTCTGACAGCTTGGCCTTTTCGTTGCAACATTGAATGCAACGTACAGTGTCCATGTCGCCGGCATATTCCAGACTTCTTACGAATACACGTCGTAGCTGACAGTGCATATGATTAATGGATCCTGATCCTGGCACACTTGGGAGACCCGAGGAGGGGGCCCTCAGTGGATCTGTCAAGGCTTTTGAGTTTTGTCTGTGCATGCATGTCATCCCGAATTTCGGGAATGAAACGAGACGTAGACAACATGTTGAGAGGAACTGATCATGGCCTGAAGTTTTGGATTCTCGTGCAATGGATTTCGGAGACCTCCAGGTCGAGACTGATGCACAGTCAGCGGAAGAGGCTGCTGCATTATTCGCAAAGTTCGACATGTATCTAAATAAACAGCACTATCATGGCACTAGGTTTGTAGAACGCCAAAGAAGATTGGATCTCATCGTAGAATGACATCCAAGACCGCCGACATGCCTTTTCCGATACTCGGCTCGGCGCTGCCGTTTGTGGCTATCCTGCTGCTTCTTGGTCTCTTCTTGTTTCAAACGTTATACCGATTTCTCACGGGAGGCCTTTCGAAAGTACCCTCTGCTCATTGGACGTGCTCTTTCAGTCCCGTCTGGATTCTTTGGCAGCGTTATCATGGGAAGGAACTGAAAGCTGTTCTTGCAGCTCATGAAAGACTGGGCAAGATCGTTAGAGTTGCGCCGCAAGAGATCAGTATCAGCGACTATGAGACTGGTGTCCGCCAGGTTTACAACGCCGGCTTCGAAAAACCAGGCTACTTCGACTTCTTCCAGTACTACGGGTAAGTTTTATGGTCAAATCTACATAATCAACGATCACTCTCTCGGAATTTTGGTCCCCTCAAGTTTGCGGCCATTACACGTACTGACTTGCTTGTGTCTTAGACAACGGAACTCGTTTGCCAGCCGGAGCCGAGCCGATCATGCCGCATGCCGTCGACGAGTCTCTTCGTCTTATTCCAAGACGACGCTATTTGCCTCAGAGACGTTGAGCAAAGTGACTCACAACATCATGTATCAACGCCTCATCCCAGTTCTTCAGCATCACTCTGCACACGGACAACCGGTAGAGCTTTTGAGACTTTGCTATGCCTCTGGGTTGGACATGCTCAACTGTTACATTTTGGGTCTTTCTAGCGGACCCGACTTTACTCGAAACCCTGAGTTGACGGAAATGTGGCTGGAGCACTACGAGAACAGGTATAGTCCTCAGGGCTTCTGGTTGCAGGAACTCCCTAAACTTTATCATGGGCTTTGTAAGATTGGACTTGATGTGATGCCTCGTAAGCACTATGAATCGACCGAGTGGATCGAGAACTGGATGCTGGAGCATTGCGACAAGTCTGAGGCAGTCTATCGACGCATGCAGAAGGGAGATCAACCCGCTGCGGAAGACATTCCAGTTGTGTATAATCAACTACGAAAGGCGATGTCCAACTTGAAAGATGGCAAGTTCCTCGACATGCAGGCGTCGGAAGATCTGTCTCGAATCTCCATCGCCAGTGAAATCTTCGATCACATGTGTAAGGTTACCCTACTACCCGTTTGCAGTTGGAATCAATTGCTAATGATGCTGTGTCTCTTGTAGCCGGTGCTCGAGAGGTGTTTGGTAAGTTTCTAGAATTTCCTTCGACTTTTCCATTTGCTGACTTCAGACTTTTAGGCCTTGTTCTTGCCTACGCGGTGTACTACCTTGCTCAGAACCCAGCTCAGCAAGAAATGCTAAAGCATGCGGTAGCAGGACTCGGAATGCACGTGACTCAAGTCGGAGCCAACGACGCAAACAATTTGCCTTCGCCTCAGACAATTGAATCCATTGCATATTTGCAGGCCGTCATCAAGGAGTCTCTGCGCATGAGGCCCAATAGCACTCCTTTACCGCGCATCACACCCCACGACAAATCCGTGAGCATTGCGGGGGTTGATGGTATTCCCGCCGGCACTCGAGTTAACTGTTTCCAATGGTTTCTACACCGGAACCCAGAGATGTGGACTCAGCCGAACGCCTGGGTTCCTGAACGTTGGTTGGACCAGAATGGTGCAGAGAGAACTGATATGCCTCCTCTCTGGGCCTTTGTAACCGGCCCGAGAGCTTGTATCGGAACGCAACTAACATACTATTGTAAGTCAAATTTGACTCCCGAGCATAGATACATGTAACGTTGGGTTGAGCTATCCATACTCTCGACCCAGAAAGATTCATGATTATTGAAGTGAACCTCTAAGCAACTTGCGCGCTAACACATGGTCCTAGTGTTCGGATATATCCTGGCTGGTCTGTTCTCTAACTTCAACGTTCAGATTGCTCGCCCTGAGACCTACGGCCGCCACACCCCCGGATCTCTGGAAGATGAACTCTTTGTCTTGATGACCCCGATTGCATGAGGGGTTCGTCGCAGTTTGATGAATCTCATTCCACTGTGATCGGTATACATACTTGATTGGTTACTACATATGATTACGCGATCTGATTTCAAATTAGTAGGAGAATGCTGGTTGCGCAGTATATGTCGTGTTTAAAAATTTGAAGATAGCACCATAGTGATGATGAGAACAACTTTCAATGATCTGCACAGGAAGAAAAGTTTTCGCGTGCCCATCTGTTGAGAGATGCACGTCCTCTCCTGGTTGCTCTTTCTGTGCTGCGTGAATGTCATTGACATTATGCTTGCTAGCAACTTCATTTGCCCCAAACCACGCGCTTTCAGCAATAATATCATCTTGAGCGCCAAGAACTGGGGATTGCTCCAGGATGAACTCCGGCCCACTCAGAGCATCGGCTGATACATTTCAGAGGTGGCTAAAGCAATAGAGCTTCCTCTTTGGCCGGGATCTCATATGGGATTATGTGAGAATAATAAGTCATCAAATTGCGTGCAAATAAATCATTGGAAGAAAGCCTGCGCGCCGATCTCTCGATTGTGATGTCGAAGATTCCCGTTTACATTGTTAGCCTACTAATGATTGGATACTGCAGACCACCAATTGAGCGACAATTTATGTAACTTAGTGATGATCGTCCGTGACCTGAACTTATTAGCGAGATTGGCAATGCGTTGTGGCACCTTTCTGTAGCGACGTTGGAAACAAAACGATCGGTTCCTAGCGCAACTGCTTATTTAGGGACATTAGTATGTACACATCGATGCCTGCACTTATTCTACCTGGCTCTTTTATACCCAGCAATGTCTTCACGGTTCAAACCGAGCACAACATTCTTGCATCCAGAGCATTCAACAAGTTCGCGGGGGTTGCTGAGGCCGACATCCGGTTACCCCAAGATCTCAGCTGCGGCTGTATGCAGTAAGAAAGCCCCGATTAATGGCCAAGCTGAACCCCCTTGCCTGCCAGCCACCCTGAGGCTGGGAGCCGTGCCCAAGCCCCGCATTATGATATCTTGAATCCCCGTTCACCTGTAAAAGACATTCAACACTCATTGCCAGCAATCAATGCCCCTCTGCATCTAGCAACATGGCTTCCACTTCTCGCGCTGCTCAGTTGCTTTGTTGTTTGCTGTGATGGAACGTGGATGGACTCGTTAGGTAGCAAGAGGTAAATAAACCTTGGTCTTCTCAGCAAAGCAGCTCTATCGTCCGTTAAAGCACAAGCAAAGCGCTGAGCCGCAATCCAATGTGACAATAATTTCACGACTCTTCGGCGAACCTGTCAAGAGGGCACCCATCAAATCATCATGTACCACCCAGGTGTCGGCAGCTCAGATAGCGCAGTCGACAAATTCACCGGTGGACTATTTGGAGTTGGACTTGACCAGGTAAAGTGGATTGCGACTCATCACATATTACCTGTCTATAGAAAGCTAACCTTACATGTATCTTTAGGCCATTCGTGAAGTATATAACACCATTTGCACTAGTTACGTCGATGGAGACGATATTATTCTCATAGGCTCCTCTCATGGCGCTTTCACGGCGCGCTCTGTCGCCGACATAATTGCGGCGGTCGCTTTACTGATGCCCATGGGGTTGGACCATTTCTACGCCATGTTTGAAGACCATGAAAATGAATTGGACTCGATTCGTGATCCTAGCCTTTTCTTGGACCCGGAAGTACTTCCCTACGACGGCGAGAAAGGAGTAGCCAAGGCTAAATGGGAGATGGATCGGAAACCATAGTATGAAAAATGGCTTGCCAAGGTCTGTCATACGAAGTACATGTACCTTTTCTTGAGACGTGACACTGATCAAATGTAGAATGGCCTAACGCGACACATGCATGAAGATGCAAATGGCGTGCACGAGATCAATATCAAGGCAGTTGGCGTCTGGGATACCGTTGGCGCCATAGGCATAACCCCAGCTCCGGTTGTCGGCCCGCATGGAGCATCAGAGCAATAAGTCTCACCCCGCAGTGCCCTTCTCTAAGTACGGCTAATGTAGAATTTTTATGTGGAAGTTTAGCAATACTCAAGTTTCAAGACGCGTGAAAAACGCATTCCATGCCCTGTCTCTGGACGAATCCCAATATACATTCCGCCATGCACTCTGGGAAAACCTCAAGGGCAACAAAACCAATCTCTGGCAAGTTTGGTTTCCAGGTATTCACGCTGGAGGGAGAGGGAGATGGCATGGGCAACAAATTGATACCGTTACTCTAGCCTGTATGTAGCCCGTTCCATCGTGTTCTCATCCACGGCTACTTGATAGAAGCTTACATTGAAGGAAGGGGTGCGTGATCAACCCAGGCCGTATGTTAGATATCTTCACGGAGGGACTTCGATTCTCAACTTCTCCTTCGTGCCCGGCTCTTAGTCATCGTGGATCCGGCCGAGGTAACAACTGCCGTGGGCGAATCCCAAGATGTGTCCGGTAAAAGCATCAAGCATTCATCGGGATGAGGCTGAATGTGATGGAAAAGATCGTCATCTTGCCGGTAGTGCAGAAGAGCTCTGGAAAACCGCTCGTCCATGGGGGCTAGGCCAGATCCGTTATCGTCAGGAACCACAATCCGGCACCCTGGAGCCTTTATGCGTACGGACCCGGAAATGAACCAAGACACGGACCAGCTTTGCTCAACACCAACGAAAGAATTCACAGTAGCGTGCGGGTCCGGCTGGCTGCCAAGGCCTTGCTTTGGACGACGATGGGATATGGGACTGCAAACCTCTGACCAGAGCCGATGACGGGAGTGGGCTCTGGAAGCTGGAACGCGGCTCCGGGCTTAACGCCTCTGAGGCAGATAGCGTCAAAGACGGCAAGACCAGGGAGTTGGATATTGACGCAGAGGGAGGCGTCTCAAAGCCTTATCCGGTCGAGAAGGAAGATGGCCAATGGAAATGGGTGCAGGCCAGCAAACAGCTCAACGCCTTCCCGCAGACTAGTATACTGCCCAAGGAGCCTTTGACGGGATACTGGGAACGGAAGTTGTTTGCTTTGACTGCGGGAAATCCCGACGTGTGGAGGTGAGCGGAGAAAAATCCCCCTCTAGCAGCCTCTGGCTTGATCTAGGTTCTTTCTGTCTCAGTCAGTGGCATTTCGGTGAAGTGGGCGGCAGCCGCGAGATCAAGGCCAGTGTGACGAATACGGTTGAATGTCTTACACCTGGATTTTACCGCTCGAACTACCAGCAAATCAGACAATCCCCCATTGCAAATGATCGCCATGGGAGCACGAGCGATCGCCATGCCGGTATTGTGTAACCAGCGTGTCTCCCACGCCTGCTTAGCTCTCGAGTGCTACACCCCGTCGATCTCGGTCCATTGTCTGTGACTATCATACAAATGAATAAGTATGTTGTTCAATCTTTGATCCCGTTTAACTCACCACTTAGACTTCGACCAGCGTTGCTGATACCGCCACCATCGCGATATACTGACAGTTGTACGATCTCCGATCAGATTTACCGCATTCTTGAGCATGGCTGCATGCGATCAAAGCTGCGCAATTCCGTCATTTTTCGCGCCTGTGAGCAGGCTATTGCGGCTAGCTAGCGGGACCTACCGATGGACTGGCAAAAGGGAGCTTACGCCGTGTCTCTGATCGGGCTGAGACATCGGCGGACTTAGGCTTGTCCTACTTGACCAGTAACGGCCTTGTGCAACCTGGCGAGACCTTCTCCCGCCTCAAGCCATACCTCCGGATGTTCTGTGATCCATCCAGCTGGGACGATATCTCTCTGATTGCTCAAAGGTTTGTTGTCTCTCAGCTTAAGCCTGGCATCGGAGGAGATGAATCCTGAGTCTTTGAGGCTGTTTACAACGGCAAATTTGATTCCACCTTCTGACTGCATTCGTCGATCAGTTGCTATCATGCTCCCCGAGTTGGGAACATATCGCGGAATCTGGTACGATTGAGAAGCATGATACCGAGTATAAAGTAACTAATGATTTCCCTCCTCATCCAATCTTTCTTCCTCACTCGCCACAGCAACTCCAACATCATCACATCTTCAGCAAAGGTTATTTTTGAATCAACAGTTCAGACATCTCAAGATGGCTTCTATTCGCACTCTTACTACCTTTGCCCTGGCTCTTGGTGCCGCAGCCAACCCTGCGCCTGCTCCTCAGCCCGAAGCTGAAGCTGGCATTGCTGACTCCATTGGCCCCGTCGCAGTCAAGCTGGAACCTGTTTCAGTCTCTTTCACTCTTCCCAATGTCGAGCTCCCAACCCCGCCTGCGGTTAACGCTGCCCGGAGTGTCCCCAACATCGATCTTCCGGTTCTTCCCACTACTCTCCTCTCTGTTCCGACTCTCAACCTCCCCCGGGGACTCACGGCGCCGACTCTCGCGCCTCCTGCGCTCCCGGCTCTGCCCATTCTGTCTGCCGATGTCGCCATCCCAGCCTCCACCATCTCACTGGCTATCGAAGTTCCGGACGTCAACATCCCCCGAGGACTCACGGCTCCGACTCTTGCGCCTCCGGCGCTCCCAGCTCTGCCTACCCTTTCTGTTGATGTCGCCGTCCCGGCCTCCACTGTCTCAGTTGCCGTTGAGGTTCCGGATCTGAACATCCCTCGGGACCTCCCCATCCTGTCGTCTCTTCTCTCACTTTCGGTCAAGGTTGAGGCCACCGGCCTTCCCGATCTCCCCGCCGGCAATATTCC